GATGGCAGTGCTGAGGCCGGGCCTGGCCAGGAAGATCCCTGATGGCAGGGACAGGGCTGTGGACTGTGAGCAGGGCAGCCCAGGCCCACCAGCAGAAGACTCCCTGCAGCCCAAGGGGGTCTGGACACCTCCTCTGCCTCCCACTCCTCACCCAGGAAAAGGAGATTTTAATCATTGCAACATTTTAGTGGCGATTCACTACATGATGTTTAATAAACAGCACTAACCTGCCCCTGGCTGCAGCCTGCCCTGAGGTTCTGGCACTAGATGGGTCCTGGTTCTCTGCCAGGAGCAGCAGGATTACAGGACTCCTGAGCAAGGCCATGGCAGCTTCAGGCTTGGCCAAGGGGCTCTGGCCCTGGCAGGGTGTTCTCAGCCCACAAGACATGAAGGGAAGAGGAATACCCCTAGCAGCACCCCCAGCATCACCCAAGGTTGAGTGGGCAGCAATTCAGTTCCCTACTGTGCAGGCTGGCAAAGCCTGGCCCCCTCTGGCAGTGGGAGCAGGACAGACGACCTGCAGAAGCAGGCACAGCCCAGCTCTTCTGCAGGAGGAAACAGCCCCCGAGGACTTCTAGGCTGGCTGGGAAGGTCACTCTGCTGCCAGCCCAGAGCAGCCTGGCCTCCCATCTGGGCTTCTGCCCATCCTGGCACAGCCCAGACTCAAGTTTGGGACCTGGGAGACCTGGGTGGCCTCAGAGACAAGGAGATCCAGGGAGAAACATCACAGTGCTAGTGATGTCCACCAGGTCAGGTAAGCCCAGGCTGTTAACATTCACCCTAGACAGCAAGCAGACTGCACTGGGCTGCTCCCTCCCACGCTCACAGGAAGGCCTCACCAGCTGCCCCCACCCCAGCTGGACAGGCTGCATGTGGCACCCCAAGCCTGGGAGCAGGCACTGAGACCCTGCACTCATCATCCCCGGCCTGCAGGGTCTCAGTGCAGGAGGGAGAGCCTCTACACCCTCAAAGGGCTCCTGGTGCTGCTCAGCTCCTTTTAGCTCCCCTCCCCAAGGGCTCTGAGGACCCAGCTGAGTCCCAACAGAGATGGACCAGGTCAGCACAGGGGTTTCATGGTGTTTATTGATCAAGCATGAGCTCCTAGGCAATTGCACCAGCCAGTTGTGCTAGAGCCTGAGGTGTCACACATCCATCCCCAGCATCAGAGAGGGCTGAAGCCAGCTGGTCACAGTGCCAGCACCTCCACAAGGCCCAAGAACAGGCCCAGCCATGGCCTGGAGACAGGGAGCTGGAAACTCAGATGTCCATCTCAAACTGGTCTTGATCTGCAAAGGTACAGAGGGATACAGGGCCAGCGTTAGGATGGGGCTGCCGTGGGAGAACATGCAGGCAAAGAGGGCAGGAACTGGAACTGGGGTTGAGCCAGGATCTCCACTTGGAGGCCAGGCAGGAGCCCCTTGCCCCAGGCAGTGCATAGGCTGTGTGCCTGGGCTGCTCACCTGGCATGGCTTCTTTGCTCTCATTCTGCTCCTTGAGCTCCTCCAGCTTGACGAGGCTGGACTGGGCCAGGGATGTGACACCGGGGATCTGGGGCAGGCAGCAGGGAGGGGTCCTGGCCACGGGTGAATTCTTGCACTCCAGCAGGAACTTGCGGTCGTAGATGATGCGGGTACCTGCCAAAAGCAGGGGGCTGTCAGGCACTGCTGGCCTCTGGCCACCACGGTCTCCAAGCACCACAGCCTGAGCCTGCAGCAGGGGGTGGGACCCAGCACCTGGTGACGGCTTGGGGACACGACTGGCTCTGGAGCCACTGTTGGGCTTCCCACGTGGCAGACTGTGACACCTGTCCTGCCCAGCAGCTATTCCCCACCTTGTTTGTCCCCTTAAGGCTCCTGGAGCTCTGTCAGGGCACAGCACAGGGGGGTCCAGCCTCGACACAGCTGCCTCATAGCAGCTGACACCACAGCCACCCCTGTACTGCCTGGAAGGCAGGGCCAGCCTTAGGATACTCAGCACACAGCCCAAGCCTGATGGCCAGGTAGCAGGCAGGTCCCCAGCATACCCTGCCCAGGGGTGGCTCCCTGCAGCTATCAAACAGCTAAGGCCCCCCACTGACACCACGGGGAGCTGTAGCTGCGAACCCGTTACCATCAGCTCAGCCAGTGAGCCATCCTGCTGTGCCCTGCACAAGGACAATGCACTGGGTTTGATGTGACACCTGCTCCAGTGCACCAGCCTGCTGGGGGTGCAGCCCCAGGGCAGTGCCCCCCCGGGTCATGCGCTGCCTGTGCCCAAGTGTCTGCAGCAATCCCCGAGGCTGCGCCAGCCTGCGTGCCATGCCTGCTGCCCTGCACCAGCTTCAGCCCTACCTTCCCCTGCCCAGCTGTGCCTGCAGCCAAGCACTGCTTCCCTGCCAGGCTCTGGCAGCGAGTGCAGCCCAGGGCAGCGGCGAGCACAGAGCGCCCAGCACCACAAACGTTACACACCCAGCGCCTGCCAGCACAGGCCTGGCTCCCCAGCCCCAGATAAGCTTATCAGAGGCACAGAAAGGAACCAGTGCTCAACTGAAACTTGCCCAGCTCAGTGACAGGGCACATACTACCCTGCGGACAGACAAAGAAAAGGACCCATTCGACAGCTGAATCAGGGGCTTTGGCAGGGGGGAGGGAAAGGGTGCAAGGGTGCAGGCCTAGGGTACCCCTGGAGGAAGCCGTGCCACCCACTATCTTCCTCCAGGGCTGGGAGCAGACTTCTTGCACCAGCTCCCTGTGCCATCCCCAGCGCTGGCCAGCTGTGCTTGGGCATGACCTACCCCCAAGGGACCAGCACTGCATCCACCACACCTGACATCCACTGTCAGCAGCCGCTCCCCAGCAGTGCAAGCACCAGGCACTGCCTCTGCCTGCTCCCCCTGGTTCCACAGGACAAGGATGGCCCTAACTTCTAGAAGTATCTTTTCACAAAGCTTTGGGGTTGCTTTTTCCACTCTAGCTCTGGGCTGCCAGGGAAGCCACCACCCTGGTGGTGCTGGCCCATGGGCCTGCCTGCATCTGATGCCCAAAGCAGGGGCCCATGACCCCAAGACCAAGCTTCAAAGTGGAGAGCCCAGGAAGTAATCCACTTAGGAAGGAGCTGCCTAAATTAAGCAGGGATGGGGCGGCTAAGGCCACCGTTCCGTTCAAGGGACAACCCCATCCCCATGCTGGGTCTTACCCCCTGGTGTGGTGGAGTAGACGGTGCCACCTGGTGTGGAGCTGTAGCCTTCTGGGATGGGGAGATGGTGTCTCCCTGGGACGGGGCAGGAGGAGGTAGCAGTGCCCGTTGCAGCCATGGAGCCTGCATGGGTGGGGTGGGGCCTAAGGCCCCTCCCCTGCAACTCACCCCAAGAGCAAACACGTACAATACCATTTGTTTTCAATAGAATTCCTGTTAACACGAGTGTTTCTCCTTTGGCATTTGCACTATCAGGGTGGCAGCGGCAGTTCAATGTTATTTGCATTTCTTCCTCAAATACTAGGAAAAACATCTGAATATATCGTCCAATAGCATTTCTGACATTTATTTGCCTGCGGTACTTGGATATTGCTTGTGCAATTTGGGTTCCTCATGCTTTTCCTGGGGAAACTCTGCTGCTGCATGTAAGGATTTGTCTGGAGGTGAAGTCTCCATCTGGTAACTAGGTAGTTACCTGCTTGAGGAATGGACCAAATATTCAGTGTAGTTGCCGCATTGCCATTGAGCAAAAGCAGAAATAAGCATAGTCCCAGTGCAGAAAGTGGAGAACTTTTGCACCTGGGTAGAGAATGAATGCTCATCTTAAGCAGTATGCAAAAATCCCTTTCTTCCTCATGGAAAGGACGTGAAGAGCTCTTACCAGATTTAAAGGGTTACAAGAAGCTTAGATTTGAATATATTACGTTTTTCTCTAGTGGGAAGTGGTCTCAGCTTTCCTAAGATCTGCTTCTAGGCAGCTGGTCACACCAAGCCAGGTGAAGAAACCCTGCCTTTACCTATGAACTACCTATTTACCTTCTGCAAATTAAGATGCCATCAGTTGCCAGGTTGTCAACTTGGCCCTTATTTCCAGCCCCTGAACAAAACCTGATCTCTCAAGGCAACCCACCTGGAAAAAGAGTGCTAGAAGCAGCAGAACTAATCCAGAAGGAAAAAAAAAAAAAATACACAACCATCTTCTCACACACACACACAAAAGGCTAACAACCAGTAGGGGGAAGGACTTGGCAGACCTTGTGTCGCAGACAACTGCAGATCAAAACCCTCCCCCAAACCCTGACTGCATCTATGTGCTAATTATGTGGCCCTGAAAAGATGCATCACTGGGCACAGTAGCAGCTACTGATGACAACATACAGCCTCTTCCAAAATTCTCACACATGACCTATAAATACTGTTCGCCTTTTATTGAATATTCAGGTAAATATTTCACATTAATACAGGCTACATAAAGTAGAGCCACTATACGACATGAAATTTACTCAGCTTTTCCTTTTAAGTATGTAAACAATTATTTACCACCCTAAAAGGTTGAAATCATGTAATCAACTAGTTCTCTGCTGCATACAAGGAACATTCACTAGTGTTTAGCCAAAAGCACTAGTTTCGTCTGATTTTTAAGTTCCAAATGGCTAACCTAACTGGAGAACAGAATCAGTTTGTATAGGAAAATCGGTTTGTTCTTATCCAACAGGCAATCAAGTTTCCATTGTTGCAGCCCACAGGAAATTGCTTAGTTAGGCACATTAAAAAAATCCCCAAGGTTCAAGATCATAAAGATTCCTAAACAAGGCTAAAAAAAGGATAGACACCCTTAAATCAGTTGACGTACTTGAGATGCATGTTTCCAATGTGAGGTGCCCAGGTGCCAGGCCAAATCTACAGCAAGAAATAAAAAGACAAGTCTATTATGAAAACAAATACAGGTTCCTTTAACAGAGCGTTTAACCACTAGAGGGCAAGCTTAAGGCTTCCCCCTAAAATACAACCAGACTGTCCAAAGGCTGGGAGCCCTCTTCAGCTCTGGCCAAGGTTTGACTGACAAACTGCAAGGTGCAGAGTATGGATATAAAGTCTCTCACTTATAACAAAGTCGATTACCTGGCTAAGCAGTCTTGAAATACTGCTTATTTTAACCTGAAAGGTTTGGTACAGATAATGCCATGTATTTTTCATAAACACACCCACACTGTAGGGTAAAAGTCATGCAAAAGAGCTCAATTCTAGTATCAAAGAACTGAAAAAAAATGTCATCTATCCAAAAATGAAGAAAACCAAACCAAAGCACAACACCTTAAAAAGCCCCAGGTAAGCAAAGGGGGAAAAAGGCAGTCACGCTACCTGCTGAGCATCAGTACATTCTGTTGAGTTCTGGACAACTTTTATCATGGGATTCCAGGCAGGATCTGGAGTATGGAGCCCGTTAAAGAGGGGGCCTCCTGGGCCGTCCGCTAGCTGAGGGTGCGAGGGTATTAGAGTGCCACCGTACATGGAAATTGGTAGACCCTGAGGGAACAAGAGAAAGCACCGTTGGTGAAAAAGGTAGTGGCAGTGAAGGATAAATGTAGTACCATGTTTGCCAAGATGGCAGAGGCAGTCCACATCTACATGTAACATTCACCTACTGGCAAATATTTCAGCACTGTGAGGAAACAGGACATCACTGCACATATAGGCAGAGTATGGAACATTGTGACTCTTCAGACCTTCAGATTCAAGTCAGTTCACCCATCTTTCTGAAATTACATCTCGCCAGTATGCAGCAGCCTCTGCACAGCGCTTTATGACCCCATAAAGCCAGACCGAGCAGCTGTACAAAGTGATCTCAGCGCTCCCTCCTCTCACCTCTGCAGCACGTGATAACCTTGGTGCATGCAGGGCTGCAGCCAGGCGCTGCACTTCAGCAAAGCCACTATACAGCTTAAGCCTACAAGATCTGGAGTTGAAAGTTTTCTATAAATTACTAATGGCCATCTAAAATATTTGTCCAGTTGAGGAAGAGCAAGTTACAGAGCAGCTTTTTGCAATTATGAGATTTCTTTTGGATGACTGCTGCTCTACGGTTGAGAAGAGCACATGCTACAGCTACTTCTGAAATGTGCTGTGAGCAGGTCTGCTGTTGAGCACATTGTCCTGGACATTCCTCCAGTGGTGGCTGAGCTGTCTATGGCTTGGCTACACCTGTCTGCCTCAAGCTACTTTCCAGCATTAACATACAAGGCACAGACTTACAACCAGTTCTGTTATCCTGCTGCTTCCTTTCCTTGTACTGAAAGCATGAAGCAAACTTAGCCTCAAGAGCTGAGCAAGCCTTATGAAACGTTTCCGAGCAGCTGAGCTTCTGAGAAAGGAAACACTGGAGAACAATGGAGGCATTCAGCTACTTGACGAGAGAACATCTGCAATCTACAAGGCTTGGGCACCTTTTCTAGTCAGTACTGAGATGAAAGGAGGTTCAGGACTGGGTGCAGCAAGGAATGATAGAAGAGGCACACATGTACAGGAGATACAAAGCAAGTCTTTGGTCATTTTATAGACTAAATCCAACCCTCTGTAACTTACTTTAGAAAAATCCACAAAACTATTTGGCATCGGTTGGTGGAAAATATTTGAGGGAGCCACTATTCCAGAATCATCTCTCTCCATTGGCTGATGCTGAGAAAACGTGCCTGGGTCTGACAGCTGCTGATGTATTGGATGATTTCCCATGACAGGCTGAGACCAACCTGACAAACCTTCTAGAAAGGAGGAGATTGAAAATGGCTGATTACAATTCATTGAAGATACTCTGGAGTAGAATTCAGAAGCTGTACACACCCACATGCATCCAAAGGCTCCCCAAAAACACAAAGTCACAGAGGTATCTTAGGGCTCTGCTCTGAGCAAAGGCAGACCTTCCACAGCCTACGCAAAGCGGGAAGATACCTCCAGTTTTTAGGCTAATAATCCATTACAGACAATGCAAACACACAAGTCTTATCTGTAGCATCAAGGTCTCTCAGAAGGAAGCCAGCAGGCAACACTATATAAGGCTGGCTACATGCACACACACTTTCTTTCCCTCCAGCTCCCACATCCTCTCATGTGCCACTGGAACACAGAAAAAAGCTACACTTGTGACAGGGGCAAAAATAGGGGAAGAAGAGAGACTGGTGAGGCCAGGGAAGTTTGGCCAGGCACATGCTGTCTGCATGTACATTCAGCTTGATCCTACAGACAAGTGTGGAGATAATGGGGACTACTCGTAATTGCAAGTTTCAGGTGTCCACAGCAGAACAGCTGAGATCCAATAAACCTCCAAATGTTGTTCACAAGCACATACAAACTTTTCTTGAAAAAGATATAGCAATGTTGAGACACTAAGTTAACCAAACTATGGAGGGCTTCACTGAAAAATGTAACAAATACGGGACTATTAAACATTTGTATTTAAAGTTACCAGTGGAAACGTTTTACACCTCAAATGCTGCAGCTCCTCCTTTCCACAAGGACCTCAAACTATCAGGAAGTGAACATAAAACTTCAGCTGTTTCAGAGTCATTCTTTTAAAACTGGGCCTGCCTGGAACAGAAGTTACTCCATACTATTCAAGAGTCAGGAGATCAATGCAAAAAATCAGCATCCACAGTTATGTGTTTCTGGATGCATTAGCTACACCACAATTAACATTTTAAGATGTTTACGGAAAGCAGGCTAGAAACTTGGACAGAGGCAGTTGTCCTTTTAGGCCAAGGGTCAGACTTGGAAATGGACTCCCTTAACAGGTAAAAAGTTGTTTACTTTTTAAATTCTGTATCATTCAATAGACTTAATATGAAATTTCTGAGCTGTTCTCAGGGTTTACAAGTGTACGCTGACAGATAATCTAGGTTGAGTGAGAACCACCTACATTAGGAGAGAAAACCACAGCGCTTTCATTGATACGCACTCTTCTGCTACTGACACCGGTTTTCCCTTCAGGACGTACTACATGAAAGTTGATTACAGACTGTGGAGCTTTATTGCTCCTCCCCAACTTCCTTTTCAAATGTAGTACTTCCAAAAGGCCCTACAAGTTTCTTTAGGCTACCCCAGGCTGTACAACAGACTTACCAGACATGCTGTTAACTCCAAAGGACCAAATACCGCTATGACCGACAGGAGCTGTGAAGTTGGTTCCTAAGGGTGTAGGAGTGACAGATCCCCCCTGTCGAATTCTAGCAAGCCTTTCTGTCCCAATCGGAGGAGGTACCTTTCGATCTTGATTGGCGTTACCCGTTTTTGGCTGGCCCAAGTTAGAAGGTGCAGAAGCAGCTGAGAGGGGCGAAGATGATCCTG